ACTTCTATCCTCATGGATGGAATCTAAGGAGCAAAAACAAGGTCGAGGGATTCCGCACGAAATTGATGACCTACCATGATGAGCTAGCTGACCTCAAGTCATACTTTGATGGCCAGCATCATGATGATGTTTTTGACCAAGAGAAGCTTGATTGTTGAGGGTAGGATGCCAAACCAACAACCCCAAAACACACCCTTGTTGTCAGCCCGCCCAGGAAGGTCAAGAGCCTGCGCACTGTTGTCCAAAAGGTCGAGGTGGAGTACAGTCCTGAGCTGTTGGACTGAGATACATAGACTCTCAGCGTCCTGTCAGTTCTGCTGGTGCTTAACTTGACAGGTCTTCTAGGGCCATGATGGAAGACACGAAGCTGCGCAAGTTTGGCGCTGAGCACGTTTGTTCTTTTCCGTCAGCCTGATACCCGTTTCGTTTTGATCTTTCAGGACTGTCCTGAAGGCAGTGAGAACCGAGCCCGGATCCGAGCCTGGAACTAGTTCAAAGGCAAAGGCGAAAGCTAAGGGCAAGGCCAAGGCGAGTGCCCCCAGAACTCGCCCTGGCAAGCAGGATGATGTCGAGGCTGAGGGGCAGCCCAAGCGAAAGAAGAGGAAGTCTGCCGGCAAGGCCGGATATCCCTGCCCGCTATAGTTTGTTTACCTGGTGGGTTGACAGAGTCAAGTGCATGAATGCGTGAGGCCTAGATTTCAAATCTGGTGCGCACATTGAAAGGAGTAAACATGGTCGAGGACTGAGACAAAACCTGGTCTCACATTATTGTTTGCAATCTATGTGAAGCCCTGATACCCACAGTTTTCGCCTAGGCTGGATGGCGATCAATGGATGTACGTGACCATGTGAGCTGTCTCCGCTGCGGGGGTCTTCGGGGGAACAATTCAACCTGCCTTTCCTGAAGCTTTTTTGTTGGACACCCCTAGCTGTTGCAATATCAATTGCAAACACGAACCTTGCTTCTGGATGGGGCGGAATTGTGCTTTAATAAATTGTCTTTCAGCGTGTGGTCCACTCACCGCACGCTGTTGCAAAACAGCAGGACGTGCGAAAGAAGTTGATGGCTGGGAAAAAAAACATGTGCATGTATAGTGATGACAGCCTACAAGCAGCAACCTCAGACTGATAAATCCTGGGAAAACCGCCCGCGCAGGTTCCAGGCCTCAACCAAAAGCTGCCAGGAGTTTGCGCTGCGGTCCTGCGGCTAAAGCCGTCGCATCTGCTGTGGCGAAGGGAGTGCCTCATGGTTTTTGATAAATTTTGTTTTCAACGGTTCTTCCTCGTTCCAATCTTGCAGGGATAGGGGTCTAGGACCAGGGTACATAAACTGAAAGCCCCAAAGGCTGCTTGACCCAACAACCCTCTCACTCCAGCTTTTGGTATTTGGCACTTGTGTTCTGGGTTCCAGGTTCGTTCGCTCGCAAACTTAGGTAAGTGAGAAGGAAGCCTGTACTATTGCACGGGCCGTTTGGGAAGAGTTTGCACCGTTCTTGGGGAAGGAACCTCCAAGCGGACATTTCTTTAGTATGGCCACCAAGCTATCGACAACGGGTCATGAGAACCGCCTATCTCGCAATTTGGCTGTGTATGGCCTGTCGGCTGACATCTCCATTAGTGATGTCGATGTGGGCCTCAAACAGAAACACCCCGTTCTACGTGTAGCTGATGCTTTGCAAACTCTTGCTGCCGTGGGGAAGTTTGAAGGTCAGTTCTTGATGGGCCACAGTTCTTCTGCTTTTGAAGCTTTCTGGGATCGATTCAAACTTCTTCAACCTGAACACCCAGTCTTTGCAAACCATGCTTCATGCACGGGCTCCTGCGTACCCATTTGCCTTCACTTCGATGAAGGTACCACATTGAAGAAAAAAAGTATTATGGTGGTCTCTGTGCAGCCCCTTCTGGGAAAGGGGACTCGGAAAAGAAAGAGCTCTGATGCTGAAGCCGGGTGCAACATGCTTGGTGACTCTTTGTTGACGAGGCTACTTTACAGCGTTATGCTTGGCAGGGTGTACAATTCGAGGAAGGCTAAGGGCAAACCACTGTCACTCTTGGTCAAAAACCTCTCCCTAGAGTTGAGGGACGCTTTTTTCAACGGTGTTGAACTTGCTGTCGGTGACGATGTGCGCAAGTATTTCTTAGTCCCTATAGCTGTAAAGGGAGATTGGCCAGCACTGGCCAAAGTTGGCCAACTCACCAGACACTTTGGGCGCCAAGCTCAGCAGAAGCCAGGACACGGTATCTGTCACCTGTGCCTAGCTGACAAAGACGGTTACAAAGATTGGCACAACCTGTCATATGACCGCATGTTGCAGATGCGAGTTGATGCTCCTATGCCATGGCACCAAGAGCCAGATCTTCTATCTGCCGTCCCAATCCAAGAAAGCCACAAACCAAACTTTTTTCGCATCGACTTGTTTCACACCCTCCACAAGGGATTGTTTGCAGATCTTTGCGCGAACGCGATAGCCTTTTGGACTTCATAGTTGGTGTGCAAACCCCTGCAATTTTTTTGTTGCCTAGCTCAACAGTTGTTCTTACCTGGCTTCTTTGCGGCCCCTGGTTTGAGGTTTGCTCCTTTGACTTTGACATCTTTGGGCGTGGGTCGTTTGACGAATCGTGTGACCAATGTTTTGGAGCACTGAAAGCCTTTTGCATCGAACACTCACTTCAGCTGCACCTCACACATTTAACCCGGGCACTGCTAGGGTACAGCAAGAGCTCTGAGTATCCTACAGGGAAGCTTTCCAGAATTTTACCTTAACTTTTTCTGTTTGTGCAGGGAAGAATGTACTTTAGCTTGTTGACCCTTACCTTTAACTCTGACACTGAGCGCAGGAACTGGTTCAAAGGAGCCGACACCGTTTCATTGATGTACTTCTTGGAGAACCGCTTGCAGAATGAGTTGGAGTCTTTGGACAACGACGCCAGCTCGTTTTTTGCTGAGATAGTGTCAGCGCTTTCTGCAGCAAACAAGTTCATGAAATGTATCTATCACTCCTCTTTGTGGCTTTCAAAGGAGGAACGGAACACCCTCCTCAATTCAGGCTACAAGTTCTCAAATAGCTTCGCCAAGTGTGCGCAAGCAGCCTATGACTGGGGATTGACACGGTTCAAATATCAACCCAAATTTCACATGTTTGGGGAACTCTTGTTTCAGCTTGCCTTCGAAAGGCACCACAATTTGCCATCCATATCCCCTTTAGCGTTTTGCACTCAATTAGATGAAGACTTTATCGGCAAGGTCGCTGCGTTTTCACGTGCGGTGTCGGTACGGACCGTTCATGAACGCACACTCAGCAGGTACATGATAGCTTTAGCTTCGAGGTGGTAACTTTGTTGCCCCAGAGGCCTGCAGTTTGTGCTTCAGTCATCCCACCAGTCCTCGAAGAAGACTCGATGGGAAAGCTCCATGGCTGCCCAGACATGACGTCATATGTTTTCTCAATGATGCGCAGTTTGTATCTAACATTTGATTGGTGGCAAACACCCATGAGTATTTTAGACATGGTTTTTGGTGGATGTCGAGCAGCCTTGAACTGCACAGCCATAACAGCTCAAAAAGCAGTGGCGCTCTTTGGAACGAAAACACGACACAGTGAAGCAGTGTGCTATTTTTATAGCACACCAGGCTTCCCAGGTTGAACATTTAGAAAGAGTGAATATGAAATTCTAATCACGAAAGGTGTTCCCCGAGGGGATACATACCTAGAGTTTGTTTTGTGAAGCATGTCAATTCTCTCCTGGGTAACGTCTTCGTGAGCCTCTTATGGTTTCAGGATAGTTCAAATCCTATGATGCTCCGATTCAATGCTCACCGATGATCTGAGCCATGGGGGCAAGTTTGTTTCCTAAGAATCCTTGTGAACATTTCGAGAGCATATGTTTGAACATTTAGAGTGCATATGAACATATATTTACGAAAGGTCGCCTCCGAGGGGATAAATCACCATGTCGAACATTGCATTTTTGTTCCTGCCTCTCGCGTTCTCTTCTCTTCCCGCTGTCCTACCTTTCGTGTCTCCCTCCTCTCAAGTATGACATTTGTTGTGGTTCATGTTCGATCTCGTACAGTCTACGCCCCCCTTGACCAGTGACACTCGGCTTTCGAAACCATGTGCCGCCATGTGCCGCCATGTGCCGCCAGTAGACACAGCAATTCGTTCGATGCGCGACAAGCAGCATGAGCCACCCTGTGATCGCCGAGGCTTCGTGCCGGACGGTTTCTCATCTATCTCAGCCAGGCTGTATGAGGCAAGCTGGTTGCAGCAGGGGTTTTGGGACGGTGGGTGTGGGCCCAAGGACCCAGCAGGGTGCTTCCGCCAAGTGGACGTGGATCGGCGTGAAATCCTGGGCATTGGTCTTGGCAGGTCGAATTTCAAGGAAATGGGCTTGAGAGCATGTGGGGAACCCCCCCCAGTTGTTTCATGGACTTTGAGGACGTTAGCTTCGGTGGTTTGATTTGGCTGAAGGGGGCAAAAGTCCAAAACAGCATGGTGGAGAGTAGCCACCCCATGTGAATCAATGCCGAAACCAGATCAGCAAGCCCTTGGTCCTTCGGGTTTTGCCCACCTTTGCACTATATATATATATATACCAGGACTTGGATGGTCCAGGTATAGCTTCAACACTTTAGTTTTTCAACCGTCATTTTCCAACGGGGTTGATCATTTCCAATGGGAGACGCTGGATCTCGTGGAGTCCTTTTTCAAGGCCCCACAGGGGGGAGCAGATCAGCCGGCCCGCAGGTCTTGCTGCACGGCTGTGTGCCGGTGCTTCTCACACATGCTTTTCACCCGTGCCCCGGTGTGAGTCGGACGCGGTGGTTTCAGACGGTCGAAGCATGTTGAGTCTGGTCGCACGATACGATTCTGCACCCCTCCAGGGTACACGCAGGCGGGTTTCTTTTTGGGCATGTTGTGCATGGTCCATGTGAAACACACTAAGACCGTCCAAAGATTCAAGAGGGCTCTCTTACACAACTTGTGCTCTCCGCGGCCCCTTCAAAGTACTTTACTACACTGTTTGGGGACAGCTTCTCAAGAGAATTGATCTTCGCAGGGGGTGTTACCCCCATACTTGCGAAGTTATCCCTCTCCAAGCGATGTTTGGTGGAACATGGTGGAACAAACCCGCAACCCATGGATTGTAGAGTAAAGCTTAGGGAACAACAACCTTAAGAGCTCTCAACAAGGTCAAGCCATCCAAAACGGGGGGGTCCCGGCACTGGAACCGAACTCGATTCGATATGCATTATCAATGTGTATGGCCATAGTCAGTGCCATAGACTCACGTTCTATCAAGGGTTTGCTTTTTCAAAGACCGAACTTGCCCCTTCCGTGCGCGAAGGTCGCCAACAAAGCCCTCCAAACTCGGCCGTCTCCCCCTTGCCGCCTGAGCCCCCATCCAACCGATACTCTAAGGCCCTTTGAGCGGCTGGTGGATTGGCGGCGCCTGGCCATCTTCTTGCGGAACAGCGAGGCCGACGGGGTGGGACACGGGTTTTGGGCGGTGCGGAACGACCCGTGCAGCGAGGCGGCAGCAGACGCCGGTCGTGACGCCGGTCAAGACCGAGTTTGGAGGAGTTGGTGGGATATGCATGGATATGGCGGGTGGAAGGGTGCGCACCTAGGGGTTTGGATGATGCCAGGTGAATTCGGATGTGGCCGTGTAGAAATGGTGGGAGCTGCCGGAAGCCTCCAAATATCTCCGAATACCATCAAATACCCGTTTTCTTCATTTGGAAGGCCATCATGCGCCGCCACCTGGGTTTTCCGGCTGGACATCATGGACATCCCGCTGACGAGCTGTGCTAGGTGGCCGAGGCCCCTGCCATTCTGAGGAATATCAGCGAGGAGGCTCGAGCCAAGCCTGCACGCAGATCGGACGCCGATCGGAATGGATCGGGAGAGGCTAGATTTGTCTCACTATGAGGTCTCTGAGGGACGTAAGTACCGACCAACAAATCACGAAAGCTAGCATCAGCTAGCTGGAGTTGCTCTTGCTTTAGCAAGTCAAGGGCTCGCAGCCTCGAGAATCATGAATCACGTGAAAACTTCACGTGTAGGGGGGCCCCCCCCCCCTCCGCGGGTTCAACTCCCCCCTGGGACGCTTCCGGTACGTGCTATAGTGCTATGTTTAGGTGGCAGGTGAAGTAGGCCACTGTTTGAGTTTGGAAGGGGGGGCATGAAACATGAAATTTACGCGAGGGTTCAAGGCTTCAATGATGAGCATTACGGGAAGTCAGAAACCAGGCGTATCAGATACACGCGCCTTTGAGCTTCCTTCGGCATCTCAGTGCATATGGCTGACACTTCACTCGACAAAGATGCTCAAACAAACATACATAAACCAGGTGTATCTGATACGCCTGGTTTGTGACTTCCCGTGATGCTCATGATGCTGCGTTGCTTTTCTTCAGTCCCTCATTACATATACATGACGATGCAACAGCAGATTCAACAAGCTCACATGTTCATGACATCGACATCGATAGAAGAAAGCAAACAAATCATGCAAGCAGCTTTGTTTTGCCTTTGGGACACCTTTTGGGCACCTCTTATGGCATCCACACTGGTTCAACTCCTCCGTGGAGGTTTTGGGATACGGTGCAACAGATTCAACAAGCTCACATTCAACAAACTCACAGGTTCGTGAACACATCGGATGCATCGAACAGTGTGGCAAAGTCCAGCCACGCTTCCTTAATTATCGGGGCCTTCAATTCTAAGGTTGGCTGTGTCATTGCTGTTTGTGTGTCTTACATGTTCACAACGTTTTACCTCATGAGCATTTGCCTCACTCCGCTTGATGTCCCACCAGTCCGGATGCACCCCTGCTAGCTTTCGTCACCTACCCTCGGCCTCAAGTCATCCGCCATCCACTGACCCACCCACACCCGCAGGATCCCCCCATATATCTTCTTTTCCACAAAGCCCACGGGCGCGATGGCCTGGAAGGCTGGAAGGGCTTTCAATCCCTCCTGCGCAAGCGCGATCCCATGGAACATCATGGAACCCTGAGAATGGACTCGTGGGTTTCGACCGTGTTCCGAACACCAACCAGGCGGTTTTGGGGGTTCCATGTAAACCTCTGCAGGGAACTTGTTGCCAGGACTACCTGGCGATGCATCGGGAAGTGGTCCGTGCTCGTCGCTTATTGCCGCCTGGCTGGGCGGAACTGGTGACCGATGGAGAAAAAGAAAGGGGCGGCTCTCGCAGTTTCACGAACCAGGAGCAATTTCTTGAGTTGCCATTCCCGGACACTCCATGTATGGCATATGGTTAAATGCCGCCATAACTAAACACGAATCGGTCTCGTTTTCCACGTAGCATTGGGCTCGAAGCTGTTTGATGCCCGTTTGCGGTGTCTGCCGCAGGTGGCAGCTTTTGGGCGAGGACTGCCCTGTGTGTCAGTCACAGCGGCGGATCGCGGCTGCCATCGCTGCGGACTGGCTCCCTCCGACCTTAGAAGCGTCCGCTAAGGTCACAAAGATCCTGGACTCGGCCTTCTACTCCATCTCGCGCTTGGTGGCCGACGAGGAGAGTCCACGGAGGGGAGTGAGCGCTCCCAAAAAGAAGGCAGCAGAGGATCGCTCTAAGGGAGAGGGGTCTCCCAAAACAGGAGGTGAGTCAGGGACACAGAGGATTGAAGAGAGGAAAGAAGAGAGTTCAAAGGAGGAGCCAGAAAAGAAAAGGGTCAGCAAGAGAGAAGAGAAGAAGGAGCCTGTCGAACCAACAAAGAGTGAAGGAAGTAAAGGATTGCCAAGGAAGAAAGAAGAGGAAGAGCAGAAAAGGGCTAGGAGCCGTACACCCCAGAGGCAAAGAGAGAAGGACAAGAGGAAAAAGCGTGATAGCAAATCCAGGTCGGTGAGCGGGTCGAGAACCAGGCGGAAGAAAAGGGAGGATCATTCTCCCAGAGCAGGAGAGCATAGAGGTGAGGAGAGCTCGGCACGTGCTAGCAGTGGCATTGAGAGGGAGCCCTTTCTTCGTCCACGGCCAAGCCAGCGAGCACCCCGATCCCCTCGTACTCCTGATCATCCACCACCTCGGGAGTCGTTTATCCCGCCGGCAGCAGGTCGAGACAAGCTTCCAGGTAGTGGGTGGCGAGGCCCAGTTCCTTACTCGAATCATCCCAGGTGGAGTGAAGGGACAAACAAAGGTGTGACCAAGCGTGCTAAGCAGGAGCTCTACGACCGGAAGAACTACCGCAGCAGGTGGTAAAGGGAGTCATGGCTCCCAAACTTCGAAGACCGGCAGCAGCGCCGTCTCGAGTGGGCCGAATGAGGAGGCCAGCTCGTGCAGCAGCTGATGAGGAGGTGGAAGAAGGAAGACCTGTGACAGAAGAGTACCTTCCTCCAGAGAGCCTCCCAGAAGGCTATTCAGGTAAAGGGTGGCATTTGGTGAGCAGAGTACTGCCCATGGGGTTTGTGAACTCGGTGGCAATAGCTCAGCATGTCCGTCGTCGGGTGATCCAGCAGGCTTTAGGAGGTGAAAAGCGTTTGGCCGGACGAGACCAAGAGATCCGCAGGGATCGGCGCCAAAGCTTTGCTCCGCACCAGTACAGGGTCTACCTCGACAACTACGACGAGCTGAATAGAGTTGACAAAAGAATGGCAGAAACCTTGCAGGGAACTCCTTCTGCGTGGACCTTGGCAGTGCGTGAGACTTATCAGCAACTTGGTTTGCCCAGACACCCCAAGAAGGGTGTCACCCAGGAGATTCGAGCAGAAGTACATGGGTAGACGGCGAGCTTGGGCGAGCATCTCCAAAGCAGGAGAAGGTAGGTAAATATGTAAGGCTGGCCTTGGAAGTCTGTGTCGCAGGCAAGGCATCGCAGCGAGAGCTACAGGTAGTAGGCGGAGGTTTCGTGTACATCGCGATGTTTCGGAGGCCTTTGTTGTCAGGATTGAATGCAGTGTGGCGCCAAATCACTGAGTTGAGCGTGCTTGGTCCGTTGGTCCGGAGGCCGCTGCCTGTTGAAGTAGCTCTTGAGTTGCTCCGGTTTGTGACCCTGTGTCCTTTGGCCTAAATGGACTTCCGCCTGGCGACCTCTGAATTGGTGACCGCAAGTGATGCCTCTACTACAGGAGGAGGACTGTGTGTCACAAGAGAGCTTAGTCCTTTTGGAGTGGCAGCATGTCAAGCCGAATCCCGAGGAGATGCAATAGAACCGGAGGAGATGGATCAGGTGCTTGTGGTGTCCTTGTTTGACGGCATAGGCGCCCTTCGGGTGGCTCTGGATTCACTGCGTGTGCCTGTTGGGGGTTATATTTCCGTTGAGATCTCGCCCGAAGCGAATCGCGTTGTTGAGTCGTTCTTCCCGGATGTCGTCTGTGTGAAGGATGTCGCTGACGTCATGGAGGAACGCGTGTTGGAGTGGAGATTGAGGTTTGCCAATGTAGGGCTAGTTCTGCTTGGCGCGGGACCGCCGTGTCAGGGGGTCTCAGGACTTAACTCTGACAGTAAGGGGGCGTTGAGAGATGAGAGGTCCAGTTTGTTTCAGCACATCCCCCGAGTCGAGGCATTGCTCAAAGAGCACTTCAAATGGTGCCCAGTCCACCGCTTGGTTGAGAACGTGGCCTCGATGGATGCACAAGACTGCCAGGCGATGTCTGAGGCCTACGGAGAAGACCCATGGAGCATTGACGCAGGAGGAGTCAGCCTTGCCCGTCGACCACGATTGTATTGGTGCAGTTGGGGACCTTTGGGCTTGGAAGGAGCGAAGGTGTTGGAGGGGAGAAAGGAACATCTCCCAGTACAGGTAGAGTTGAAGGTTGACCTTGATGAACAAGATTTTCTAGAGCCTGGTTGGAAGCGTGTGAAGCCAGACAAACCGTTCCCGACCTTCACTACCTCTCGACCCTCAGTTACACCAGGGCGTAGACCCGCAGGGTTAGCCCTTTGTCCGGCCGACGCAGTAGCTCGGTGGAAGGCTGATCTACACAGATTCCCACCGTACCAGTATCGCGTGGAGAACTGCCTCACTAACCGCCAAGAACAGGTTCGTGTGCCTTCGGTCAAAGAGAGAGAGGTGATCCTTTGATTCCCGTTGGACTACACTAGACGGTGTATGGTGAAAAGCTTGGAAGGCAGCGCACAGCATAATGACTGCCGGCTTTCTCTCTTGGGAAACAGTTGGTCGATTCCAGTGGTTGCGTATTTGCTGTATTCCCTGTTTAGGACCTTGGGCATGATGCCGCAGTTGAGCTTGGCGTGCTTGGTTGGGAGATTGACACCCGGGCGAGAGAGCTATTTGTCTAGTCTGTTGTTGAGGCCACCTTTGAGGCAGACTACAAAGGCAGGGCAGCAGCAGAAAGGATTGGTGACGCGGTTGCTAGGTCAGGTCTCGATCAAGGGCGAAGACATCTTGTTGCAGCTGGGGAGTGACTTGCCAGCTCGGGCCTCGATTCCAAGCAAGTTGTGGCGTTGGAAGGATGTTGCCGGATGGAGGTGGACCGGTGATGTCGAGCACATCAACGCCCTTGAGTTGCGAGCTGTCAAGACGGCGCTGGTGTGGCGGCTTAAAGAGCTCGAAGAGAGCTCCTGTCGCTTCTTGCATTTGATTGATTCCTTGGTTGTGCTGCGTGCGTTGTCCAGAGGTAGGTCTTCAAGTAGGCGGTTGAGGAGAACTTTGTGTCGGATCGGAGCGCTTCAGTTGGCAGGTGGTTTGGTTGGAGTGTGGGGTTACGTGGATACCCACCAAAACCCCGCAGATCGGCCATCGCGCCGACCACTTCGGAAGAAATGGGGAAGAAACCACGAAAGTGATGGAAGGAAAAAGCCAACAGGAGCGCAAGAAGGTTCGAAGTAAGCTAGGTTCTCTTAAAGGCCTCACAGTACAACCTCGCACACGACAACGCTACACAGAATGTCTCAACCGTTTTTTCGACTGGATGGCAGGGGAGGGCCTCTCCCTCCCAAAACAACAAGTGCGTCTCGATTCCCTGGTTAGTGATTACCTGGAACATCTATGGGCCTCTGGCGAAGGAAAGTCGATTGCAAATAGCGCCCTGGCCGCGCTTCAGGACCGAGACCCTTCTCTTAAGAAGAAACTGCCTGGGAGCTGGAGGTTGCTAAAGGCATGGAGCACCGTAGAGATACCCAACCGTGCCCCCCAATGACTGTCCAAATTCTTGATGCACTGTGTGGTTGGTCAGTGTTTCATGGATGCCCTGAATTTGGGCTGTCTCTCCGAATTGCCTTTTACGGCCTTCCTCGCACGGGAGAACTACTGAGCCTCAGGGCGAAAGACATTTTCATTCCAGGACCCACAGGGCCAGCGGTGCTTTCACTTGGCCTCACCAAGGGAGGAGCCCGGCAGGGCGCGGCGGAAAGCGCTACTCTGCACGAACGCTCCATCCTCCCATCTTTGTGGAAGTGGAAACAATCCGTTGCACCTTCAAAAATTTTTAACTGTAAAGCCACATGCCTGGAGAGCACTCTTTACCAAAGCCGTTGCTGCACTGCGTTTGGATGACCTCCATTTCAGACCTTACAGTCTGCGTCGAGGGGGCGCGACGTTTTGGTTTGGACACCACGGTTCGTTCGATAAATTGCTAGTGCAAGGGCGGTGGGCCGCCGCACGAACTGCCCGAGTGTACCTGAACGACGGGCTCGCTCAGTTGGCAGATATGGCTCCGTCGAATTCATTTTTACTTCCCTACGTGAATTTATACCGCAAGAGCCCACTGCTTGAGCCTGGGTCGCCTCAAGGGCGTCCCAGAGCAGGGGGACGTGGAGCCAGGAAGGGCAAGTCGAAAGGTTTCGTTTTTTCTCGATTTTT